CTATATTCTATATTCTATATTCTATATTCTATATTCTATATTCTATATTCTATCTCCTATCTCCTATCTCCTATCTCCTATCTCTTATTTCCTATTTCCTATTTCCTATCTCCTATCTCCCATCTCCTATCTCCTATCTCTTATCCCCTATCTCCTATCTCCTATATCCTAACTCCTATCTCCTACTTCCTCTCTTCTATCTATCCTATCTCATCTCTGTTATCCTTTCCTACCTATGCTTTATCATCCACTTCCTATCTTCCAGACCATGTCTCCTATCTTCAATCTTCTCTTTTCCTTCATCTTCCTTCCATTTTCTATATTTCATATTAGATCATTCACTTCCCATCATTGATCTTCCATCTTTCATCTTCCATATTCCGTCTTCACTTTGCCATTTTCAATCTTTCATCAGTTCCATCTCTCATCCAGTAGGTTAGGGTAACTGCGAGTCGTTTAGTCTCTACGATTCATCGTCCACTTTCTATTATTATTATGCATTAATTTTGATAGCTGCATGTTTGCACGTCGCATAATCATACTTTGCCGCACAGCTGCGCAAATGTTATTTAATTTCTTGTAAAAATGAAAACAAACAACGCGGCAATGAAGGTGAATGCAGGTGAGCCTACGGCCTATTTAAGGCTTTGGGCTTTGGGCATTGGGCTTTGGGTTTTGGTAGTTTGTAACTGGCATTTGTTGCTTGCGGCACTCGCCTCGGAATACTTTTTGCTATAATTTCAGCTGAGTGCCTGCCTGGCTGGCACATTCCAAACTTGGCTTTTACATAGTTGTTGGCCTGGCTGGGCGTTGTCATAGTTAAGCCAATGTAAACTTTTTTAATTTGCAATAATAATAAAAATTCCATTTTCGGCTGCTGTTGCTGCTGCTGCTGCTGGCAGAAATTTTGTAGCCTCGCTTCAATTTTGTAGCCACTCGCCATACAAAATAATTCAACAAGTTTTATGCACAGGCAACGCGCATCGCTTGAAAATATTTGTGGCTCCTCTTTTGTCTTTTATGACAGCTCAAACACACAAGTGAGCTGGCAAGAGAGAGAGAGAGAGAGAGAGAGAGAGAGAGAGAGAGAGAGGGAGGGGGAGTGAGTAAGCTAGCTCAAGTGAATCTCACACTTGCCGGTAGCTCAAGAGCCGTTTGATTTATGAACTTCATGTGGCAGCAGCAGAGCGCCACAGGTAACATTTAAGGTTGGCTGTTTAAATGCACAAAAGCTTCAATTTACTGCAAAATGTAGAGCAACTGCAAATTGCAGATAAGAGAGTTCAACTCTCTATGCCGCTTGCCCAGCGAAAGCCAATTTATAACAAGCTGCACATCATCCATTAGAGCTCCATGGGAAGAGTAATAATGCAATTATATTAATCTTCATCTGCTCGAGCTGGATATCAAATATAATCATGAAATGGTCTGTTAGTAATAGCAATGATTTATGCTTTATTTTGCTCAATTTCATATGAAATTGTTGAATATTCAACACGTATTTAATGCAATGCGTTTTGGTGCTTTATATGTGCTTTATAGCTAATGCAAGCGGATTTAATTAATATATTTCTCAATGCATCTCGATTCAATGTGAATATTTTTCCAATATATTTAATCTTCTATTAAAATCTCTCTCATTTCAACATATTTTATTTCAGTTATATCTGCAATTTTATTTC